AGCATTTTTCTTCTCCTGCTTATGTGGTGCTGAGGAATTGAACCCAGGGCCTTATACATGCAAGGCAAGCACTCTACCTCTGAGCCACCTTCCCAGCCCCATTACAGTTTTTTTACAGAAAGAAAAATAGAGGCAATTTTGGGCCAGTTTTGTGTATCTCCTTAGGTATCAATTATATATACATATATGTATATGTACATATATGTGTGTGTGTGATTTTTAATTGGTGCTGTCCCTCAGATTTTTTTGCCTAAGGCTGGCACTACCATTTGAGCCACAGCTCCACTTTCAGTCTTTTTACCTGTTCATTGGAGATAAGAGTCTCATGGACTTTCTTGCCTGGGGTGGCTTAGAACTGAGATCCTTAGATCTCAGCCTCCTGAGTAGCTAGGATTATAGACAAGAGCCACTGGCACCTGGCTACAGATGATCAAAGGGCACTTAACATTTATTACAAGTCATTCCTTTGTATTTTAGCAAGACTCTGGTAATACTAGAGCTTTTAAGAACTATGATCATAGTAAAAATAAACCACTCTTTAAAATACAATTATAGCTAAGGGTTATAGCTCAATGGCAGAGGTCCTGGGTTCAGTCCTTAGCACTGCAAAAACAAACAAATAAATAAATGATAAAATAAAATAGAAACAACCAAAGTTGTAGCATTTAGTTTTGATTTAGGAAATACAGTTTTTTCAATTAGATGAATATATCAGGCATATTCTTGATTTTTGTATGTGTTCTTTCTGGTTCTTTTTAAAAAACTTTTCCTTCCTCTATTGGCTAGAGTATAGTCATAGCAGGTATAGCTCTTTTGCTGAGAAGTCTAATCTCTTTTAAGAAGAATTTTGTGTTTTGAAGTTGCTTCTTTTGTGGTAAAATGAAAATAAAAATGTTCTTACTAATGTAATATTTTAAATGATATCTGTCACTTTAAACCAAGAAATAGAGAAAGAATCTGGATTTAGTTCATTATTTAAGAGAATTTTCTAGAGAATTCATATTGTAAAATACTCTGTTTCTACTTTGCTTTAAAAAAAAAAACCTCATTGCTCCAAATTGGTTATTATTTATTTTAGTAGTACTGGGGTTTGAACTCAGGGCCTCTCGCTTGTCAGGAAGATGATCTTACTACTGAGCCATACCTCGCCCTTTTTCGTGCTATCTTCAAGACAGTCTCATTACCTTCCTGACACATGTCTATGCTTGGCCTCAGTCCACCCATTTTAGGCTTCCCATCATTGCAGATAATATGCGTGCATTATCTAAGCTCTGTTGAAAAAGGATCTCTTGAACTTTTGTGTCCCTAGTAGTCTCAGATGTGATCCACCCAATTTCAGCTTCCCAAGTAGCAAGGATAACAGGCATGAGCCACTGCCACTTAATATTCTAAATAATGTTCTTTATGATAGAATTTATTATTCATTGTAAACAAATAATTAAGATTTTTAAAAAGCGTGATGCAACCTCTTCATGTATGAGTTGTCTGGTGTCTGATTTTTTTCCTTGTTCTGTAGCCCCATATTTTTCCTCCCAATCATATTTTATTTTAATTGGGATTATAAAGGTGGTGTACACAGTGAAGCTCCTTTAATAATGTTTAAAAATTACTTCTTGTCAACTTCATATTGCTTGAAGGCTAAAATTTTAAATTTGGGGGGGCTTGGGGGTTTTTGTGGATTAAATTTATTTGGCGCTAGTACTGAGACTTGACTTCTCCTTTACCTTGGTACTCTACCACTTGAGCCCCATTTTCACTTCCACTCTGGCTTTTTGCTGGCTAATTGACAATAAGAGTCTCTTGGATTTGTCTGCCTAAGCTGGTTTTGAACTGGAGGCCTTAGATCTTAGGCCCTCTGAGTAGTTAGGATTATAGGCAGGAGCCTCCAGTACCTGGCCATGAGTTAATTCTTAAGTGGAGAACTCACTAATGTGATAGTTCTTTGTTTTTTCTTTCTTTCTTTCTTTCTTTTTTTTTTTTTTTTAGTGGTAGTCTTGGGGCTTGAACTCAGGGCTGGGACACTGTCACTGAACCTCTTTGTGCTCAAGACTAGTGCTCTACCACTTGAACTACCATGCCACTTCTGGCTTTTTCTGAGTGGTTTATTGGAGATAAGAGGCCCCAGTTGGCTTTGAACTGTGATCCTCAGATCTCAGCCTCCGGAGTAGCTGGGGTTATAGGGGTGAGCCACCAGAGCTCTTCTGTGATAGTTCTTTTGATTTCATTTTTCCCCTGGAATTTTTCTGGAGCGCTCCTTTGAAGATTGGCTTTGTTAATATGCAGAAAGTTAGATGTAGATGGGCCTGAGTAATCATCATTTAGTAGGGAGCAACTTAAAGATCTGAGGAGAATAGCTTAACAAGTTTTATTTATTCCTAACAGAAATCAAATGCACATTCTTTAAGCATTGAATCTAAGGTTGTTTTCTAGATCTTTTAATTGTTAGATATTTTTAGAGTGGTCTTTGAAACCTTATCCTCCCAATCCCCCTGTAGTTTTTTCAGTGATTCAAATTTCCAATTGATTCTATCCAATCTTTGATGTGATTTCTTTAAGGGAAAGTCCCATCTTGGGCCTTTTGAATACTAATTTACTAGAATGAATATTACATAATTCTAATATTCTGATAAGCTAGAATAGCTTGTTCCCTTTAAATTGACACCACAACTCCCTGCATTATTGGAGAGATTGGTCATGTTCTCAAGTAGCAGTAGAAAAATCTCACACCCTGGTCTGACCAGTATGAAAACAGCTGTTGCAGAACAAAATGTCCTTTCTGTGTCCTCAGCTGAAATTGGGGGAGGGGCAAAGCCCAATTGATACTTTACACTATCCTGTCTGCCTGCTAGAAGGCCTATTTCCTACCCTGATGGTTTCTGCCTAACAAATGGTGTTTCTTTTTTACAGCATTATGATCCTGGACTTGTTGTGGTGATGGTAAACTTAGCAGTGGTAATTTTTATTTTCAGACTGAATTACTCCTTTTGTCATCAGTGCACCAATATGTTAGGCTTACTTTCTCTGTTGTAGCCTTCATCCTTCTGCTTGGTCTTTTTCATTTTCCTTTCCTTTCCTTATGCAACTTGTCTGATCCTTGTTCATTAAAGGATAATGTTAAGAAGGGACATATCTGTTCATGTTAAAACTGCCAAAAAATCAGTTAAATATTCTAATACTGTCAAAACTTGATTTTCCCTCCCCAATGTAATGGGCACTAGCACTTGCTACTGCAATTTATAAGTAAATTAAAACAAACTTTGACTGCCTTAGAAGGCAAAAGTACTAATGCAGAGTTTATAAACAGGGGTTTACAGAGGTAATGAAATTGTGCCAAAACGTTCTTAATTCTTACAAAATAAATTCTCACAGATAAAAAAGATTCCAAAAAATTGTTTTGATGTTTCTTTTCAATTCTTTCATTAGACTATTTGTTTTTTTGCCAGTAAATCCCTGATTGAGACGTTATGAAAGTGATATTGCACTTAGGAAGTCATTTTTATAACTTGTCTTTAATTTGGTCCTTTTGCTAAAGATTGCAGTCACTGCTTATTTATTATACCATTGGGCATAAAGTAGAAATGCATTGTGTTTGTTTTGCTAGCGGTCTTTGATAGTATCTAAAAGAAGGCTGTATTCTAAAAGTTTTTACCCCCTTTTCTTTCTGGCCTAAGATATTGTGTATTAAAGTTTTTTTTTTTCAAAAAAACTATGATAATTCCTACCCCTCTACTATATGAAAGCAATAAGGGGTATTGATGATAAACTTTTGAATTTGTTTGTCATTATATTTTAAAGACAAGAATTAATCTCACAAATATAAGGCAACTGGATATAAGTGGTTGCTGATCATTTTGAAAAGGGTTTCTTTTTTCATGCAGGGCGCATACAAGTCAAAATCCTGGCATTTGTTATCTTTAAAATTTCAACTGTGGGGGAATGTCAGGGCTTGTCTTAAGTGGTCAAGCATCTACATAGCAAGCACAAGACCCTGAATTAAAACCCCAGAACCATCAAAACACTTTCTCAGATTTGGGAATTAGCCAAATAAAGCTCAGTTTTAGCCCAAAGGTATAATATATATGTGTGTATAACAACAACAACAAAAACAATTGTTTACACCAGCCTGAGTGAAATGATGAGGGAAGTAAACATTGTGCTTTTTCACTAAAGGTGTACAGCAGATAAGGTAAGTCCTCTTTTCAGTGGGCTTACATCACAATGAACAGCGCAAGTTGTGATGTAAAACAGCTGTGGTAGTAAAGTGCTTGTCTGCCCCATTTTGCTTTGTTTGGCTGGTTATGAGTGGATAAAAATATATTTATTTAAAAAATCTCCAGCATAGATCAATTAGTTTAAAGTCAATTTTCTTCGCAACTAGTCCTTTTCACAGCTTACCAATTACTACTGCCCATGTTAAATCCACTCTGTTAAATGAGACCGTGGCACCAAATTAAAACTACTTGTCCCTGAGGGCAACTAACTAGCCTTTTATTTTAAAAGTTCTTAGATCCATTTAATTATGAAGCATCTTTTGAAAACAAATTTGACTAATTTGTAATTATAGTTTTCCTACTCATATTTAACAGTATACTTTTTAATCGTGTCGACTGAGATATTTACTATGTTTTAAGTGTTTGAGGGAGGGAGGTTATCAGTGGACAGACAAGTAATTCTTGGTGGGAAGTTATTTGACTATCCTTTTAAAAAAGGACTTCTAAAATTTTTAATTTCATACTCCTGGTGCCATTCCTTAGAATGCTTCTTATTACTTATTTAATTTTGTGAAGTTCTCTCCAACTAGAAGGTCAAAGTGGCTAGCTGGGTTTAACCTAGGAAAGGAAGGATTGGATGTAAGCTGTGAGAATGGCTTGTGTTTGGTTCACTGTAGCTTTCTGGTCTCTGCACTCCAAGGCAAGATCTCTAACCACCCAAACCTAATGTATAAAGTGAGCTGTTGGCTTAGCTTTGTGTCTTACCTTGAATCTGTGTTCCTATTACAGGGAGAACAGATCCCATTCCAATTGTTGTCAAGTATGATGTCATGGGCATGGGTCGCATGGAAATGGAGGTAAATGGATCTAGTAACTCATTTTGTGGACTCTTTTAAAATATTAACTTAAAATTCAGATGTCAATACAAGAATACACTTATGAGATAGAATTTAAGTATTTTTAGTCAGTTAAAAATGTATTTTCCAACAACAGAGTAAGCCCATCAAATGCTGTTTGAAACAAAGGGAAGGAATGATAAAATAGAAGAGGTGATTTTGTTCTAAATGCACTGTATGTATGTGTGGAAATAAAATGAAACCCCCATGTACTACAAATGTGTGCTATATACACATAGACTACATTTTCATTTAGTGCTACTTTTGAGGCATATAGGATGTAAATAATGGCCCTGTTTTGTTTTGTTTTTTTTGGTCCAGTCGTGGGGCCTGAACTCTGGGCCTGGGCACTGTCCCTCAGCTCTTCAGCTCAAGGCTAGTGCTCTACCACTTGAGCCACAGCGCCACTTCTGGCTTTTTTCTTTTTGCTTCTGTGGTGCTGAGGAATCCAACCCAGGGCCTCAGGCATGCAAGGCAAGCGCTCTACCACTGAGCCATCTTCCCAGCCCCAATAATGGCCCTGTTTTAAATGACACAAAGTCGAATGGTTTGCCTAGGGTTATACAGTAAAGCAGGCAGTGCTGTTCAATGTTTAAAATGCTTTCTGTGGTAGAAGTTTTATTCGTGTAAAGTTGTGTAGCATCATCTCTAATACCTATTTTTTATTACTTATAATACTTCATTCTTAATTCTTTTGATATTGAACCTTCCACTGAAGTCTGTTGTCAAAAAATGAGTCCTTTGGGAACTATCAGCAAGAAGGGATTAGGAACTATTTTATTTGCTGTTATCTTCTGAGATGAAGATAAAGCAAGAGGTAGCTGAGCAAAATACAAGTGTTTTTTTTTTTTTGTTTTTTTGGTCGGCCGTGGGGCTTGAACTCTGGGCCTGGGCGCTGTCCCTCAGCTCTTCAACTCAAGGCGAGCGCTCTACCACTTGAGCTACAGCACCACTTCCAGTTTTCTAGTGGTTTATTGGAGATAGGAGTCTCACGGTCTCTCCTGCCTGGGCTGGCTTTGAACCACAATCCTCAGATCTCAGCCTCCTGAGTAGCTAGGATTACAGGCGTGAGCCACCAGCGCCCGGCTTGGCTAAGTTTTTTGTTTTAAAATAATATTGCATTCATGCAAATGACTTTTACATTGTTAATCTTGGGTACTCTAGGAAATAAACTAAATTATCTGTTTTTAACCAAGCTTGATTATGCTGAAGATGCTACCGAACGACGACGTGTCCTAGAAGTAGAAAAAGAAGATACGGAAGAGTTGAGACAAAAGTACAAGGTACATAAACTCATTCTTCTGTGGAGGATTTGCACATTGAAAAAGAGATAATCCTTTTGGTGAAAAGGATCTCTTAAATGATACCATTGGTTTAAATTTGGTGTTTAATAGTAATAGATCTCATGTACTGTTTTAGTTACTTTCCTATTTCCTTTGTAAAAATAAAATAATGCCTATTTCATAAATCTGTTGGAAAGATTATATTAGTATTTGAAAACACAGTCTAGTATACAGGTAGCCAAGTAATAGTAACAGCAAAAAAAAAAAGGTTAAAAGTCCTTAGAGGCTTCCCTGTTTTCTTTCTCACAATGGAATTGACAGTTTTCTTGTCATTGCTAATTAGCATGTCCACAAGCTAATATACCCCACTTCCATTTTCCTGCAGAAGGATTAGTAGAAAAAAAATTAACACCATCCTTAAGCAAGAGCAGATGTTATAAGTCAGCTTTTTTTCCTTTTTCTTTTATTTCTGTGCTGAAGATCATGCTCAGGGTTGAGCAGCACGCTAGGCAAACATTTTTTCTTTTTGGTGCTGAGGATGGAAACCAGAGCCTTAAAATATTAGTTGAGTGCTCTACCACTAAGTTACACCTTCAGCCTTTTCTGACTGTATTTTTTTCTTCAGTTTCAGGAAGCTTAGCAACCTAAACATTATTACTAACACAATCCCTCCTTAATTTGTACTTCCTTTCCTTAGTAGCACAGGATGCTCATTTTTACCTTTCAAGGCATTTTGTTTCCCCTTCCAATCCTTCTGTCATACCTACTCATCAAAAGCCTATCCTCAATCAGTACAAAATACAGTACTTGCAATAATTTTTAAATATTTTATGCCAATTTTATGGTGTGGGCCTTCAGAACTGTCAAGTAATTCTTGTTTTGTCTTTTGTGCTAATCCTAGGGCATGAACTCAAGGCCTGGGTACTGTCCCCGAGCTAAAGCCTAACATTCTGCCACTTGAGCCACAGCTCCACTACTTTTTTTTTTCCTGAGTATTTTATTGGTGCCTTGCTGCCCCTCCCTTTCTTAACTAGGACCTTCCATTTCTTTCCTATATTATCACCTTCTCTTTATTTTTTCTTTTTCTGTAACAAGTAAACATGTTTGAATACTTTTTGTGGTACTGGGGTTTGTTCTTAGGACCTCATGTTCAACTTGCTTGCTCAAATGGTGCTCTACCACTTATGCTACACCACCAGCCCACTGAACATTTTTTGAGGGAGGGAAGCAACACAAAACCAAGCTCTATTGATGTTCTCCCATTGATCCTATAGATAACATTTTTTTTTTTTCTGGGTGTGTGTGGGGGTGTGTCAGAACCTTAGCATGAACTTTAGGCTGGCCTCAAACTCACATTCTTTCCATCTCCCAAATACTAGGATTAGAAGAAGTACCTTTAGCTCTGTTCTTTAATTTTAACTTAATTAAAAATTTTTAATTTTTTTTGGGGGGGATCCGGTTGTGGGGCCTGAACTCTGGGCCTGGGTGCTGTCCCTCAGCTCTTCAGCTCAAGGCTAGCGCTCTACCACTTGAGCCACAGCGCCACTTCCTGCTTTTTTCATTTTGCTTATGTGGTGCTGAGGAATCAACCCAGGGCCTCAGGCATTCAAGGCAAGCGCTCTACCACTGAGCCATCTTCCCAGCCCCAAAATTTTTTAATTTTTTATGCCAGTCCTAGGGCTTGAACTCAGGCCTGGGCACTGTCACTGAGTTTCTTTTGTTCAAGAACAGCACTCTACCACTTGAGCCGTAATGCCACTTCCAGCTTTCTCTAAGTAGTTTATTAAAGATAAGAATGTCTTGGACTTTCCTTCCTGGCTGGCTTTAAACTGATTCTCAGATCTCAGCCTCCTGAATAGCTGTGATTATAGGTGTAAACCACTGGAACCTGAGTTGCTGCTTGTGTTTTTGATGGCCTATTTAAGAACTTGTTTCAAGAACATGGAGATCTGCACCTGTTTTCTCCTAAGAGTTTCATAGCTTGGCTCTTAGTTTTAGAACTTTGATTCATTTTGAGTTAGTTTTTAATGTTATAAGATTCTTATACATGTTGCTTTCCAGTTGTCCCAGCACCATTTGTTGAAAATACTGTTAAAATAACTCATCATCACAAAGATGTTAAGACTATCCACTGAGATTCTGACTATGATTACAATGGATTTGTAAATTAGTTTGGAAAATATTTGTTTTAATATAAAATCTTTCAGTCGATGAACTTCATGTTTCACTATTCATTTGGCTTTTTAATTTTATTCAGTAATGCTTTGTTGTCTTCGGAGTTTTGTCTTCAGTGTTTTTCTGTGTATGAATAGAAATGTTTTTATTAACTTTTTTCCTAATTGCTCATTATTAGTATGTGAAAAATACAACTGGCTGACACGAGTGGCTCACAGCTGTAATCTTAGCTACTCAGTAGGCTGAAACTTGAGGATCATGGTTTGAAGCAAGCCCAAGCAGGAAAGTCCATAAGTCCTTATCTACAGCTAACCATCAAAAAGCTGGAAAGTAGTACCACGGCTCAAGTAGTAGAACACTAACCTTGAAGTAAAAAAAAAAAACACAAAAAACTCAAGGACAGCGCCCAGGACTGACTTCAAGCCCTGGACTGGCACACACACAAAAAAAACTACAACTGATTTTTGTATATTGTTCTTCTTAGCTCTGTTTTCAGTCTTTGAGGTTTTTTTTTTTTCTCTTGCCTTCTTGGGGACATATTTTTCTTCCTATGGATCCAACAATGCAATAAATACTGCATTTTATATTGAATTTGGTTGGTTTTTTAGGAGAAAGGATGCCTCTATCTTGTCTATCATATTGTCAAAGGAGAGGGAATAATTTGTGTGACGGTGGAGCTTGAACTCAGGGTCTCACCCTCTTGATTGGCTTTTTCAGTCAAAGCTGGCACTTGAGACATACCTCCACTTCCCTTTTTGTTTTGTCTTTAATTTTTTTTCTGCTGTTATTATAAAGTTGATGTACAGAGGGGTTACAGTTTCATAAGTCAGGTAAAGTGTATGTTTCTTTTTGGACAATGTTACCCTTCTCTGGCTCTCTTCTAATTTTTCCCTCCCATCCCTACCTGCAAGTTGTGTGATTCATTTTCAACATAGTGTCCAGTGAGTACCATTGCTACATTTGTTTACCCTTTGTCCCTCCCTTTCTGCACCTCCCTTCTTTTTTCTTTTTTTTTTTTGACAGTAGTAGGGTTTTGACAATAGTAGGACCTCATTTTCTCTTGAGTTTTAAAATCTTTACTGATGTTCCACCACATGAGCCATAACTTTAGCTAAGCTTTTTGCTGGTTAAAATTATGGTGATGTTATCTTGCAGACTTTTTTCTCTGAGCTAGTTTTGAACTGAATCCTCCAGACCTCAGCTTGTTGTGTGGCTAGGATTACAGGCATAAGTTACCTGTACCCAACTTTAACAATTACATTTTAAAATGTTTGTTCATTTGTTTTTATTTTATGATTCTTATAGGATTATGTTGATAAAGAAAAGGCAATTGCCAAAGCGTTGGAAGACCTCAGAGCCAACTTTTATTGTGAACTCTGTGATAAACAGTACCAGAAGCATCAGGAATTTGATAATCATATCAACTCCTATGATCATGCACACAAGCAGGTGAGGATTCATTATTTGCTAAGAAAGAAAAATATAGTTTAGCTATTGTTACAACTGTTGAATTTTATGAGTATGCCAAAAACTTTGACTGGCGCGCGTGTGTGTGTGTGTGTGTGTGTGTGTGTGTGTGTGTGTGTGTGTGTGTGTAATCTTTAAGGTCTTCTCACTTGGCGCGTGTGTGTGTGTGTGTGTGTGTGTGTGTGTGTGTGTGTGTGTGTGTCCTAATCTTTAAGGTCTTCTCACTTGGCGTGTGTGTGTGTGTGTGTGTGTGTGTGTGTCCTAATCTTTAAGGTCTTCTCACTTGGTTTATTTTCCTGTGGTAAAACTCCTCTGACATTTATTTTTCTTTTCACTCTCCCAATATTTTTATAAAATGGATTGTTTTATAAACCTTATATAATATTTGTGGCTCTGAAAAATTTCTGAATTTTTCTTAATTTGGAAATTAAGCTGTGGACTGCTAGGAACTTTGTTTCCATTTCTCCCTTTTTCTGAATATGTTAGACTTTAAACAGTTATCCTAGACTATTGTCTTTTTAACCCCTAAATTTCACAGTTCACATATTCTTGTTTTTTGTTTTTTTTTGGGTCCGGTCGTGGGGCCTGAACTCTGGGCCTGGGCGCTGTCCCTTAGCTCTTCAGCTCAAGGCTAGCACTCTACCACTTGAGCCACAGCACCACTTCCGGCTTTTTTCTTATGTGGTGCTGAGGAATCGAACCCAGGGCCTCGAGCATGCAAGGCAAGTGCTCTACAACTGAGCCACCTTCCCAGCCCCAGTTCACATATTCTTGGTTGCAATTTTGTTTGATCAGTAAATCATTTTGCTATTCAGTATACCTTGGAAGGTAGATAAATCTTGAGAACAAAATAAAATTAAATGCTATCTTACTAACAAAAAACTGTTATGCTGAATATTCAAGAACTGAGAAATGAATTACACTTTTTCTTTTTGTTGAGTTGGAAAAGAAACTCATATGCAGCTAGTTTATCACATTGATTGCCCACAGAAAAATGAATATTTAGGATAAATTGGGCAGTTTTGGCTTGTTAAGAAATTCCGAGGCTAGATTCTATAGCTCATGTCTTTCATCTCTGCAACTTGGGAAGAAGAAATTGAGAGAATCACAGCTCAAAAGCCAGCATAGGCAAATAGTTATTGAGACCCTGTGTAAGCCAGGTTTGCTAGTCCGCGTCTGAAATTCCAGCTTCATGGCAGGCCATGGGTAGTAAATCCCAGTCTGCAGTCTGCCCTAAGTGAAAACATGAAACCCTCTCTGAAAAAATGACTAAAGCCAGGCACCAGTGGCTCGTGCCTATAATCCTAGCTACTCAGGAGGCTGAGATCTGAGGGTCCACTGTTCCAAGCCACTCCAGGCAGGAAAGTCCAAGAACCCTTTATCTTCAGTTAACCACCAAAAACCACCAAAAAAAACCCAGAAAGCTGTGGCTAAAGTGGTAGATAACTAGCCATGAGCAAAAAGCTTACTAACGGTGACCAGGCCCTTACTTCAAGCTGCAGAATGGGGGGAAGAAAAGGGCTATGGTAAAGAACTCAAATGGTAGAATGCTTCTTGCCTAGTAAGACTGAGACCCTGAGTTCAAATGTCTAGTACCACATGCACACATACAGAAAAAAAGAGTCTATGTAGGGTGTAGTAGTTGTATTTGTTAGACTTATAAAGTTGTATTGCTCTAACTTCTCTGTTAAGCTGGACCTGTTGAACCTGGCAGTTTCTTGTTCTTAAAGCATTATTTTCCATCTCATCTTTGTATGAAGTTGTATGTAGTTGTGATACTACACTTCTTTGCAACAATACCTTCCACATTTAACCACATATAACGAAGTTAAATTCTTCTGCTGATTGTTACTGCGGATTGTTACACATTCAAGACAGCCTTTTTACTTACTACATACCTTTGAAAATTGTTTTTTTTTTTTTTGGGGGGGTGGTCCGGTCATGGGGCCTGAACTCTGGGCCTGGGCGCTGTCCCTCAGCTATTCAGCTCAAGGCTAGCACGCTACCACTTGAGCCACAGCGCCACTTCCAGCTTTTTTTTTTTTTCTGCTTATGTGTTGCTGAGGAATTGAACCCAGGGCCTCATGCATGCAAGGCAAGCACTCTACTACTGAGCCACCTTCTCAGCTCCATGAAAATTGTTTTAATATATTTTATACCCTGCTTGATTCAAATAAGAGAAATTTAAAAAGCATATAAATAGGCAAAGTACATTGTTAGTTACTTCTGCAGAGAATCGATTTTTTTTAAGCTGGGCACCAGTAGCTCATGTTACTCAGAAGGCTGGGATCTGAGGATCATGGTTTGAAGCCAGCCCAGGCAGACAAATCTGAGCAACTCTTATCCAACTAATCAGCAATAAGATGGAAGTAGAGGCATGGCTCAGATGGTAGAATGCTAGCCATGAATGCAAAAGCTGAATGAGAACTTGAAGCTCTTGTTCAAACTGAACCCCATATTGGCACCAAAAGAAACATCTTTCATCCAGGAATGGCTCAAGCTGAGGTCTTAGCTACTTAGAAGGCAGCAATCTGGATTTCACAACATTTAAGGCGAGTCCAGACCTGAAAGTTGTTGAGACTCCATCTCAACCAATGACTGGGCACACTGACACTCCTCTATCATTCCAGTGACAAAGGAAAGCACAAATAGAAGGATTGAAGCCTAGGCATAAAGTAAGAACTCATCTCCAGAATAAATAATGCTCAAAGGGGCTTGTGATGTACACTTGCTTAGCAAGTGCAACACCCATTCAAACTCCAGTACTGCCATCAAAACAACAACAAAAATCAGCTTTCAGGAAAGAAAATGTTATAGTGAGTGCTGTTTATCTCATAACTTTTCCACTTTAAAAATTTTTCCAGTTTTCAAGCCCTCCCCCCCCCCCCCCCCCCCCCCCATCCTCTCTCCCTTCCCTGTTGTGGGGCTTGACCTCAGTCAGGGCCTGGCTGCTGTGCCTGAGCTTTATTTCTCAATGTTAGTGCTCCACCACTTTAAGCCATAGTGCTACTTCTGGTTTTCTAGGGGTTAATTAGGGATAAGAGTCTCACAGACTTTCCTGCCACATGCCCGAACCACCAATCCTCAGATTTCAGCTGATCCTCAGATCTCAGCCTCCTGAGTGGCTAGGATTACAGGTATGAGCCACGAGCATCGGCAAAGTTTTTTCTCTTTTTAATGGAATTAACAAAGACGGCATCTAAATACTTACTCATCCTTTTAGGCTCTTGAGAATGTTGTGTTTATGGAGCTAAGCATAATGGCATACACTTAATCCCAGCACTTGGAAGACCTAGCCAGGAAGATTGAAAGTTCAAGGCTAGTCTGGATTACACAAACAAATTCATGGCCTACGTGGGGTACTAGAGAGCCTTTGTCCCAAAAGTCCAAAAAAGGGACAAGAAGAATGATAGAAGGAATGAAATTGACTGGAATACTGTAAACATGTAGAAATGTAACAATGAAATGCACATATAACTAATATAAGCTAATTGGGGAAAAATGTTTATAAAAAAAGACAAAAAGAAGTGAACACATCAAAATTCCTCAGAAGAGAAAACAATGGTAGTGATAACATTGATCAAGATGCATTGTATTCCATCTAGGGACTGGGAATGTGGCTTAGTGGTAGACTGCTTGCCTAGCACTAGCATGCATAAAGCACTGGGTTTTGTTCCTCAGTACCACATAAACAGAAAAAGCCAGAAGTGGCACTGTGGCTCAAATGGTAGAGTGCTAGCCTTGAGCAAAAGAAGCTCAGGGACAGTGCCCAGGCCCTGAGTTAAAACCCCAGGACTGCCCCCACCCCCCCAAAAAAACCTACCTGGGTGTCTGTAATCCTAGCTATTCAGGAGGCTGAGATCTGAGGATCACAGTTTGAAGCCAGCCTAGGCAGGAAAGTCTGTGAGACTCTTAACTCCACCAGAAAGAGGGAAATGGAACTGTGGCTGAAGTTATAGAGTACTAGCATTGGTCACAAAATCTCAGAGACATTGTACAGGCCCTGAATTCAAGCCCCCGAACTAGTACACACACATTGACCATTTTGTAATTCCCCAGGAGATACTTCAGACGGAAAAAAAAAAAAAAGACATGTAAGAATCAACAGTTTCAGTTAGTAAGTCTACTTAAGATTAGAAGTTTCTTCTAGAAAAGAGTAAACCAAGCAAAATTTAATTCAAACTTGAGTAATATGGGAAAAAGGATATTTTAAGGGGTAAAAATTCTATCAAAGCAAAATCTGAACATATTTGTCAATATGAAATTCATATTGACATTAGTTCATTGTGTATGATACTGTTTTAGTGATATTGCTCTCAACCTGTATAAAGTAGAAATGTTGTCACTTTTGCTTCATTAAAATTGACATGTTTATACTCCTACACAGCTTATGTTGCCTCAAAGTTCTTACTTTAGAGGGACTTTTCCCTCAAGAGAGACTTACCAATCAATATCAGGAGACGTTTTTGGTTGTTGAACCAAGAACCATCAGTGGGTAGAGGTCAAAGATGCTGCTGAACATCCTACAATGTAGGAAAGCCTCTGAAAAGGAAATTCTTGGCCCAAAATGACAAAAGGTGCAGAGCTGAGATTGAAAACCTTTGTAGTATTAGAACTACTGAAAACCTTTAAATATATATGGCATTATGAAATCACGGCCTTTGCTTAGTACAGACAAATGAATTATTTTACTTTACTAGCTATAAACATTTGTAAGGTACTTGTCTATATGATCTAATATATTCACTTATTTTTAAATAATTTTTAAATTAAAATACAAAATTAAAAATTTCTCACACAGAGCTCATGAGCTACTAATAGGGACTATATGTGTGTCTGGGGAAAATGTTTAATGAATGAATTTATTTCTTCTGTTTAAAGAGAAATTTAAAAGAGACCAGAGGTGGGGCTGGGAAGGTGGCTCAGTGGTAGAGCGCTTGCCTTGCATGCCTGAGGCCCTGGGTTTGATTCCCCAGCACCAT